TCTCCTCCTTCCCTATCTCTTGTCCCTTCTCTCCTTCCTCTCTGCCCCCCTCCCTCTCTCTGTCCCCTCCTCTTCCTCTGTTTCCTCCTCTCCCTCTCTGCCCTGCCCCGTTCTCTGTCCCCTCCTCTCTTTCCCTCCTCTCCTTGTTCTCTTTCCTCTCCTCTCCCTCCTGTCTGTCCTCTGCCTCTCCCTCCTCTGCTCTGTCCAGTCCCCCTCCATCTTCCTTTCTCTCTGTGTGTCTCTCTCCCTCCCCCCTCCCCGCCTCCTCCTGTCCCCCTGCTCCCTGACTTGCATCTCTGTCTGGTGCCTGCCTGCCTCTGCTCCCTGGGCGGAGCCCGCTGTCCCTGTAATAAAGCCATTTCTGGTCCTCACTCTCTGGCCCCTGTTGCCTCCTTTTCCCTTCTCACTGTCCTGTCTCTGAACTCCCGCAGCTCTGCTTGGGGGGAGGGGGACTATGGGGGAGGTGGGAGGGGTCGCCTCCTGCCAGGGAGATGGCACTGGGGAGAGTGAAGGGCATGGGTGCGGAGGGAGAGCCAGACAGGGCAAGTGCAGGGGACTGGGGGGACTCAGGGGAGACAGGCCAGACACAGGTACAGGGAGGTGGGAGGGGTGACCTCAGAGACAGGGACCCAGAACCCAGAGAGAGAAGCCAGGCGCCCAGCACCCGCCCACAGGGCTGACCCTGGGCGGTCTCCCTTCCCAAAACAAGGGTCCCTTGTCCCGCCGAGAGCCAGGCAGTTGGGGGAGCCTGAGGGCTGGCCGTGGGGGAGGGGCACCCTTCCTCAGGGCTCCCTTTCAGCCCCTGCTTTCTGCTGTGTCTGGGGAAGGGTGGGCATTTACAGAGCGCCTGCTGTATGCACCTGAAAGGCCTTCATACCTCTCCTGCACCCCGCGCCCCCTGCCCATTCTGTCCTCTGGTTTGTTTTTCCTGTGCTCCCAGCCCCTTTCCTGGAGGAAACCGGGCAGTTATTAAGCACCTAATGTTTGACAGGCGACTTCAGCCTGCTGCCTCCGAGTCTTCCACGCCGATTCCTTCCTCTTCTGATTTTCTGGGAAGGAAGCAGCCCCACTGCGTGCAGGCTCTCAGCTCCGCCCGTCCTTGCTCTCTCCTGCTTCCCTCTGGCTCCGGAGAAGCGCAGACCCTTTTGAGCACTTGCTGTATGCCATGCCCTCTCCTCTCCTAGCCTTCTCCTTGTCTTTCTGGCTCCTCTGCTCTCCCCCAGGCAAGGGACGCACTGGTTGAGCACTTCTGGTCTGCCGCGGAACCGGGCACGCTGTCCGCCCTTCTGCCCTCCTGCAGCCCCTGACCGGGGGCTGCCCTGTGCTGGACCGCGCCTTCCCCCGCTTCTGCTGCCCCCTCAGCTCTGACTCCTCCTTCTTGGGAAAGAAATAGCAGTTAAGGCATCTCTGCTGGATGCCGGCCAGGGGCAGCCCTCGCGTCCCCTCCTGCCCCTTCCCCGCCTCTGCTCTGCCAGCCTCTCCTCCCTCTGACCCCAGGCCCCCCTCTGGGGATGAGTCATGCATTCATTGAGCGCTTCCTGCATGCAGCGCAGCCTCCCCTTGGCCCTGCCACAACCCTGCCAAGGAAGACACCGTGCATATATGGAGTACCTCCTGTGTGCCCACGGCTCACCTAGCCCTCTCTCCCGGGAAGGAAATGGGTACCCATTGGGTGCCTGCTGGGTGCGACTCCCCCGGGCACCGCTGGCCTCACAGATTCTGTCCGTCCTCTGTGCTCATGGCCAGAGGGAAAGGGACACTTATTAAGCACCTGCTGTGTGCTGGCCACCTTACATCCCTCACATGTGTCCCTCCCAACGCCTCGGTGGGACCTTTCTCCCCTCCTCATCCTCCCAGGGAGGCCTCGGCTTCACGAGCACCTACTGTGTGCCTGGCGGGCTCCACCTGTGGCCCCGCTGCTGCTTTCTTCTCTTTCCATCTGCTGCTGAAGGAGTGGGCATTTATTGAGCACTAACTGTATGCAAGGCTCTCTCTATGCAATACTTCCCCTTCCCTCATGGCTCTCTGCTCTGGACTGGGCGCCTACTGTGTACCTGGTGGTCCGCCCCCCGGGGGGCCCCAAGTTTCCTAGACAGGGGGGCTCAGGACCCTCCTCCCCTGGGGCTCTGTGCAGGGTGGGGGCTGGATGAGGTCACAGGAGAAAGCAGAGCGCCCCTCCCCTGCCTCTGTCGCCGCCCCGTGCAGGTGCTGGGGGTGGGAGGGTACCCACTCCCCAGGCCGGGGGAGATGAGGACCCTGGGACCCCTTCACTCCCTCCCAGTTCTTCTGGACCCTGCCCTCTGCCTTCCTCCCTCCTCCTCCCCCCCTTTCCTCTGACCTCACTGGCACCCCCCACCTGGCCGCCGGCTGCCCCCATCAGAGGCCCCGCCTGCTTGGTTTGTACGCTGAGTACCGGGAGTTCCTCCAAGGTCAAAGCTGGGACCAGCAGCCCCACCTTTTCTAGAACTTTCTGTTTCCTGCAGAATCCCCCCCCACTACAGTGCCTTTCCCCCCGCCCTCCTCGACCCTCCCCAGGCCCGCCCGCCCCCTGGTTGCAGGCTGGTCCCAGCCTGCGGGCGGCTCAGGTGAGCCGGCCACGCCGTGACCCCCCCAGGACCCGGGCGTCCCTGCCCGCGCCAGGCCGCCCGGGACTGGACTCTCCTTCCCGCTGGCCGCCAGCCCCTCCCGCCTCACGAGAAGGCTGCAGGGGAGGGCGGGGCCACACCTGTCTCCCTGCCTCCCCCCACTGCTTCTCGGCTCTTCCCCGCTGTCCCCCCCCAGGCCTCATTCTCCTCGATGCCACCTCCCTGCGGCGGTCTCCGCTCTGGCTCCGGCCTCCTCCCCACTCTGCGGGGTCACACTGGGCCCCAGGTCCTCCCGCCGCCCACTCCCTCCGCCCCCGCCCCGCGGCTCGCGGGGTCCCGGTTCTGAGAAGGCTGGGGCAGGCGCGCCAGGAACTGCTAACACCGTCTCCTCTCTCTCCCGTCTGCCTGTCCCGAACACCCCGCACTGCCTGGAAGAATCAGGCCGACCTCAGGACCAGGAAGGCGGGAACGCGCAGCAGGCCCGGAGGCAGGCCCCACGCCTGCAACGCTCAGCAGGTATTGGGGGCCAGGACTGGGTGGGCCCCGGGCCCGGGGGCTGCTCCCTGTCCCCAACCCTTCGCCGTCTTCTCGTCCGCAGGAGCCGACTTCCACCCGGCGAACGCGTCTCCGGAGAGCAGCGGCGGCCAGGGCACGGGTATTCCCCGGTAACGCGACCCACAGGGCCCGGGTTGGGCTTGGGGTGGGTGTGGGTCTCCGTCCACACCCGCGGGCCCCTGAACTGACACCTGCTGGCCAGGGGCGGAACTGCAGCCCAGCTGTAGAGGACCCGGGGCAGCGCCAACCAGCGGCCCGCGCCGGAGGGCCTGGGGGGCGGAAAGGACTTGCAAGCTCCGGAGATGAGCGTTTTCACTCCTGGTCAGTGCACACACCCACACCCAGCAGGCTGCGGGCTCAGCCAGCTTCACACTATCCTGCAGGTCTTTTAATGGATGGACCCTGGGGGGGGGGCAGAGGAAGGCGGGGTCAAGTCCACAGGGAGGGGGGCACGCGCCTAGAGTCACACTGGTGCCTGCCTGGTGCACGAGGCCACGCGCTGGGACACAGGCTCTTCCCAACCCAGGGGAGCCTGCACCGCCCCCCGCCCCCCGCCTTGCCGGGGGCGAGGGCCCGCCTGGGCGTGGCCGCTGCTGTCAGGAGCCCTGGGGGGCGCCCCCACGGCAGCTCCTGGTTCCAGTCCTGGCCCCTCCACTCCCGATCCAGCTGCCCTGGGAGACAGCGGAAGACGGCCCAAGAACTTGGCCCCTGCCATCCAGTGGGAGACGCGGCTGGAGTTCTGGACCCCGGCCCGGGCTGTTGGGCCATTTGGGAGCACAGCAGCGGATGGAAGACCTCGCCTGTCACTCTTTCAAATAAAATTTTAAAAAACTTTGTTTTTAAAGAACTTGCTGCTGATCGACCACCGTCTGAGGCAGAGCCCGCGGGCGGCGTCTGCGGGAGTGGGGGCGCCCGGGGACAGGGCTCAGTGCCATAGCGCGGCCACTTCCTCAGTGCGGTCCCGGCCGCGGCTCTCCCAGCCTCGCACCGGGCGGACCTGGGCGGGGGCGGGCGTCCAGGACTTCCACGAGGCTCCAGATCTCCTCTTGGCCCGCCCAGGCCAGTGCTGAGGTGCTGTGGGGCGGGGCGCCCCATCCAGTGCTGCGGGGTGGGCGGGGACAGGAGCCGGGGGACAACGCGGGGAGGAAGGCACGGAGGCGGGGCGCGCCCAGGCAGGGGGGAACCCCCCCCCCGCCCCCGTCAGCCACTCGCTGGCCCAAAGCAGTGCAGGGGCCCAGGGTGGGCGGCGGCGCCAGGGCCGAGGCCGCAGGTCCTCCCGGGACCACGGGAGACGCTGAAGTCGGGCGTTTACAGGGCGCTCCGGGGGGCAGAGGCGCGCAGGCTCAGCGGCCGCTGCCCCCGCCCCCGCCTGCGGCCGCGCCCCCACCCTGGCCCCCGGCGTCGGGCGCTCCGGACATCATGAGGAACAGGACCACGGGCAGGATGTACATCCACTGAGAGAGGCAGAGAGAGGAGGCCAGTGAGGGCCGGCCGGCCGCAGCAAGGGGGACGGGGTGGGGCGGGGTCCCCTACGGCACTACGGGCGGGGCGGGGCGGGGCGGGGTCCTCACTCAGGCGTCCGGCGGCGGCGGCGCGGGCCCCGGGGCGGCCGGACGCAGGGCTGTGAGCAACACGGCCCCCCCCAGGATGAGGTGCCACTGAGGAGGGAGGGGACTCGTCAGCGGGGCCCTGGGCAGGCGGAGGGGCGGCCCGGGGCCTGACCCGGGGAGGGGGCTGGGGGAACCGCCTCTGGGCCCGCCCCCGCCCCGCCTGGCAGAGGACACCTCCCCCAGGTCCCCTCCCCTTCTCTCGGGCTCCAGCCCAGCTCTGGCGGGGCCCCAGTCTGGGCTTAGCAGGGGCTTCAAGGGGCCAGGGCACGCGGGGGCCTGGGGGATGGGGCCTCTGGGCTGGCAGTGGGGAGGGGGAGCCTGGGCGGGCAGTGGAAGGGGCCTCTGGGCCCGGCGCGGGGCCCTGGGCCGGTGGTGGGGAGGGGCCCTGGGCGGGCAGTGGGAGGGGCTCTGGGCCGGTGGTAGGGAGGGGCCCTTGGCCGGTGGTAGGGAGGGGCCCTGGGCCGGTGGCGGGAGGGGCCCTGGGAAGGTGGTGGGGAGGAGCCCTGGGCGGGCAGTGGGAGGGGTCTCTGGGCCCGGCGTGGGGAAGGGGAGCCTGGGCGGGCAGTGGGGAGGGTCCCTGGGCAGGTGGTGGGGAGGAGCCCTGGGCGGGGCCCTGGGCGGGCGGTGGGGAGGGGCCCTGGGCGGAAGGTGGGAGGGGCCCTGGGCAGGTGGTAGGGAGGAGCCCTGGGCCGGTGCTGGGCAGGTGGTGGGGAGGAGCCCTGGGCGGGCAGTGGGAGGGGCCCTGGGCAGGTGGTGGGCGGGGCCCTGGGCAGGCGGTGGGCGGGGCCCTGGGCCTGACGCAGCACTCACGTATCTGGCCAGGAAGGACTTCTGCTCCTGGGGGTTCCGCGCCTTCTGCGCCTGCTCCATCTCCAGGCGCTCGATGAAGGCGGCCGTCTCCGGGCTGGGGGCGCGGGAGGGAGGGCAGGGGTGAGGAGCCGCGGCGGGCCCCAGGCAGCCCCCGCCCCTCTGCAGCCTGCTCACCCCGGCGCTGTGACGGGCGGCTGCAGCTGCACCGTGGTGTTGAATAGCTCCAGGTCCACGTCCTCCACCTCGTGGCCCCGGCAGCCCCCGGGGTGCGTGACCACCGACACCCCCACCACGTTGCCGGCCACGTCCACATGCAGGGTCAGCTGGTCGGAGAGATGCGACTCCACCAAGGAGCACTGAGGGGTGGGGGCGGGGTCAGGGGCTGCTGCCCAGCACCCCCAGAGCCCCGCCACGAGTCACAGGACGCGAACCCCACGCAGCCTGGGGTGGGGGCAGGAGCGAGACGCACCGCAGGGACAAAGGAGGAGACGTAGCCGCCGGCTTCGGGGCCGTCAGGGGCTCCAGGCCTTCGCGGGACCCGCACACGGTACAGGCCATTCAGGGCTGCCACGTCCTGCGGGGAGGGCGGGGTGAGTGCGGGAGTGCGGGAGGGGCGGGCGGTCCCCGGCCCCCTGTTCCCGCTGGCCTGGCCACAGCCCAGAACTCCCCTGGGGCAGGGAGAGAAGCGGCCGCCAGAGGGGGGCCCCAGGGACGCCCTCCCCGGTGCCTGCCCGTGCCCGGTCCCCCCAGGGACACCAGCGATAAATTCTCTCTGGGGAATGGGGGCTGGCTGGGCACAGGGCCACACGGGCACCAGGCAGGGAGGCTCCCACGGGGAGGGCAGCCGTGGCCACGGGCCTGCGCTGTAGGGGCTGTCCCCAGAGGTCGCTGCTCCCCCTGCCCCTCCCAGGGCCGGCTGTCTGGACCCCCACGGTGTCCTGGGCGGAGCCCGGCTGGGGGGGCAGGTCCCTGCAGGTCTGGGAGGGAGCCACAGAACGGGCCTCTTGTCCAACCCAGACTGGAGCGCTCGCTCCGCACAAGCAACCCGGTCTCCACGGGGCGTGACCTCCCCCGGGAAGCGAGGGCGAAGCAGAGGCCCTGGCCCCACTCACCCGGAGGCGGCCCCGCTCCTCCTCGCTGAGCTGCCGCTGCGACAGGGACAGGCTGCCATCCTGCTGGTTCCAGAGCAGAGAGCCGCGCTTCCGGAAGTGCGTGTGGTCATCTGCGGGGAGCCGGGCTCAGCGGCCACGCCACGGGGCGGAGGCCGGGGGCTGCCACAGGTGCCCCAGCCCCAGCTCCGCCATGCGCTTGACCTGCGTGGCACTGTGCCCTAACTAACGCCTCCTTTTTCATTCAACGGTGGCAGGGTGTGTGAGCCCGTGCGACCTGAGCCCAAACTACTGTTGCGGGGCACGTGGTCAGGGGGCGGCGGGGACCCCTTGGCCAGGTATGGGGGCAGGGAAAGCCGGGGCCCAGGGGCCGAGCCGCCGCCGGCGACTGGGGAAGCTCCCGGGCGGGGTCACCCCCGGCCTTACCGATCTCGAAGGAGTGCTCCAGAACCAGCCCCACCGCGCCACAGCCCTCGGCCTCCCGGCCTTCCACCCCGGCCTGCAGGGACAGCGCGAGGGGCCCGGTGAGCGCCAGGCGCGCCCCCCGCGGGGCGGGGACTGGCAGGCCGAGGGAGGGGCTTCGTCCTACTCCAACCCGCCCCCAGCCCATCCCCGCAGACCCCGCCGACAGGGGAAGTCCTCCCCGCGTCCTGATCCCGAGCACACCCCCAGCCCGAGCACACCCCCAGCCCGCAGCCCCGCGGCCCGGTCTGCCTCCGCCCTCTCCACCTGCGCGCCCCTACGTCACTCTCAGACGCCCCACCCCCGCCCTGTCACTCCAGCCGTCCCGCCGTCTGATTCGCCACGATCTCCCGGAGCCACGCCCTCCATGCATATTCACGCCGGCAGCCTCGGACGCTCGCCCCGCCTCTCGTGCATATTCATGAGTCGAGCCTGCCGACCTCGCCGCTCCCGCCCGCCCGGCACCCAGCCCTGCGGAGGCCCCGCGACGGCGGCCGCGCCCCCCGCGCTGCCCTCGGCTCCTCCCTCTCCGCCCTGCGCCTTCGCCCGCCGCAAGACCCGGGCTCTGGAAGGCCGGCGGCCGCGCCCGCTGCAGTTAACGCGCACTCACCCCCCGCGCGACGGTCCCGGCCCGGCAGCTGCTGCCCCGGGCCCGGCTGGGCGCTGCTGCCGCCAACAGCAAGAGCAGGAGCAGCCGTGTGGCCCCCGCGCCGGCCGCCGCCATGTCCACCCGTTCCCACCAACCCGGGGCCGGGCGCCGCGGAGCACGCCGGGAGGAACGGTCCGCGGCCGGGCGCCAGGGGCACGCCGGGAGGAACGGGCCGCGCCAGTGCGCCTGCGCCGGCCTCTACGCTTGCGCACTGGGGTCCGCCTGCACCGGGTCCCGACGTCCGCGGGGAGCCCAGCCCCTCCGCCCGGGGGCGTGTCCCTCCGGTGACGTCACAACGCGGGCTGCCTCTGTGACGTCATCGAGCCCAGCCTCGCCCGCGGTGACTTCACAGTGCTCGCGGCCCTGGCTCTCGGCTCTCGCCTCCTCCCCCCGTCTCCTCCTTCTGCCCCCGCCGGGGGTGGGGGGCGTTGCGATGAAGCAGGGGCGCGAGCCTGAGCCGGGCCCCGGTGGAGCAGGTGCGGTGGCCAGGAGGGGCTGGAGCCAGGCCTAGGCGAGGGATGGGGCCGGCCCTGCGCAGACAGCCGACGCCCGTGGCCGCAGCCCCCTGGCATAGACCCCCGACCTCCGCCCCTCCAGGCCGCCCCCTGGAGCCAGCCTTCCCCTCGGGCCGTCCCGGGCGGCTGCAGCGCCACCTCCTGAGCGGTGAGTTCGAGCAGCTGCGCGACTTCCCCATCTTTGAGAGCAACTTCGTGCAGGTGTGGAGCCCCGGAGCGCCTGGCCACCTCCTGACTTGGGGGCGGCCCCTGTCCTCCCTGCTCCTGACCACCAGCGCCCCTGTGGGACCTCTGACCCCGCCCAGCCTCCAGCCCTTTGGCTTCTGAGCCCCGGACTTGGCGCCCACGGGGTGCTTGACCTTTAGTGGAGATGAGTGACCTCCAGGCGGATTTCTAACTCCCCGGGTCGTGACCTTCCACTCCACCAAGATTGCTGCGCTCTGTCCCCACCCCCTGCCGCCTCTGACTTCTGCCCTCTGGCCCCAGGTGACCCGGTCGGGAGAAGTCGCCAACAAGGTGACCATGGGGGTGGCAGCCTCCAGCCCAGCCCTGGAGCTGCCGGACCTGCTGCTGCTGGCGGGCCCTGCCAAGGATGACGGACAGCTGCAGCTCCTCGGGTGACCGCCCGCCCCCGCTGGCCGCTCCGGGCGCTTGGGTGGCCGCCGTCCGCCGGGAGAGCAGGGACAGTGGATCCACAGGGCAGGACCGTCACACACACACACACACACACACACACACACGCCGCCTGCAATCCCGAACCCAGTTTTCTCGCCGGAAGCCCTGGGTGCTGCTCCCGGCCTGCCCAGCCCAGGCTGCGCTGGGTCCTTGTTCCGTCCAAGAGGATCTGTCCCGCCGGTCAACCTCGCCAGCTGCCACTGCGGCGGCGCCGGGGTCTGGGACCGCCCCACCCCACCACGCGCCCGCACACCAGCCCCTGGCTTCCGTGTGACCGACCTCCCTGAAGCCCTGAGCTGTTGGGGCAGCAGTGGGCAGGCCCAGCGGGCTCGCGGTGGGCGGTAGGCGCCCTGCAGGCTGGAGTCTGTGGCCCCGCACGGTTACACAAACTGTGCCTCCTGGGCTGCCCAGCTGTGTCAGCGTTCGCCGTTACAACGTGGGCGGGGCCTGTCCTTGGAGGGGGGGGAGTCTCCTGGGGCCCGGGTTCTGGCCAGCTCCCTTCCTGGCCAGAAAGTCCTCTCGCCTGGAGCATGGGCACAAGAGGAGAGCCCACCTCCCAGGGCCACTAGGGGACAGAGGGAGCCGATGCGACCGCAGGGGCACACCCGTGGCCGTGTCGGGGAGGGGCAGGGGAAGGCGCCCGCCGGCCGGGGCCCCAGAGCTCTGTCTGCTGTCTTGGAGTTGTGGCCAGTGTGGCAGGGGGCGCCAGTGTGCCTGAGGCTGTGCACCGGCGAGCGGTGTCTGGGAGATGGGTGCCTCCAGCATGGTGCCGGCCACCCAGGGGAAGTGGCTGCCTGTCCCTGCCGCCGACAGCGTGCGACGTGGGTTCAAATCCCAGTCCTGGGACCTGGCTCCCCTCCGTGGACCGTCTCCTCCCCGGGCTGCAGGCCCGAGCCCTTTATCTACCCGCGTGCTCCGGGCACCAGGGACACAGCACTGGACAGAACCGGGAAGTCCCTGCACTGTGGGGCCCCGAGCCTCCTGGGAAGGCAGGCTTGTCAGCTAGGGTGAGATGGAGTCGCGCACGGCAGGGAGGGGCCGAGGGGAGGGTGCAGGTGCAGGTGTGGCTGTCCTAGGCCAGGCCAGGGCTCCCTGGAGGATGCCTGGCGAGACGCACACGCGGCGACAGGAGGCAGCCGCAGAAACAGCGCTTTGGAGGGCGGGCGTAGCTGGAGGTGTGCAGAGCCCAGCGGTCCAGGATGGGGGTGGGCGGGGGCGGCACAGGTGCTAAACGGCACCCTCTGCTGGCCACGTGCAGCGCTGCGCCCACGGTGGGGGGGCCGGAGGCGTGGCAGCTGTTGAACCAGCACACGGAAAATTCTAAGTTTTTTTTTTTTTTGCGACGACCACAACGGGAGGCGGCGAAGGCCGGGCGGGAGCGGGGCGTCCGGGGGCGGGGCCGAGCCTGAGGTCGCCCCTCCCCCGCCCAGGCTGTTCCCCCTGCAGTTCGTCCAGCTCTTCGTGCACGACGAGCGCCGCTGCCAGCTCAAGGTCAAGTTCTGCACCGGCCGCGCCTTCTACCTGCAGCTGCGCGCGCGGCCCGAGGCCCGCGAGCGGGAGTTCGGCCGCTGGGTGCGGCTGCTCTACCGCCTGCGCTTCCACGCGGCGCACGGAGCCGTGCCGTTCACGCAGGGCAGCTGGGCGCTGGGCGCCGACGACAGCGAGGACGAGGACGAGGAGGAGGACGAGGACGGGGGCTGCGCGGCCTGCGACGAGGTGCGGGGCGGGGGCGGGGCCTGCCAGGGGAGCGGGCCTGGCTGGGGGGCGGGGCCTGAGCGGAGAGTGGGGCGGGGTCTTACGGAGGGGCGGGGGCGGGGCCTGCTAGGGGAGCGGGCCTGGCTGGGGCGGGGCGGAGCCTGGTGGAGGTGAGGGGCGGGGCCTGGCCGCCTGACCGTCTGGCTGGGGCTGGGACTGAGCAGAAGACAGGACCCTGCCCCCACCGCGGGGCAAGCCTTCTGAGACAAACGGGCTCTCTCCCTCTCTCTCCCTCCCCCTGTTCCCCTCTCTCCCTCCTTCCCTCCCTCCCTCCCTCCCTCTCTGCAGCTTCAAGACAGGGAAGCCAGACTGAACCCGCTGACCTCGGAACTCTGGGGACTCTGATTCCGCCCGCACCAGGCCCCTGCCGCGAGGGCCAGACGCGGGGCAGGCGTTCGCCAGCCGCCGTCCGCCCTGGGACTCAACGCGCCGTCACCAGCGGTGTGGTCTCGGGCCGTCCGGCAGCCCGCACCACCACGGAGACCCGGAGCTGCCTCTGGACACAGCCTGCCCAGGCTGGCCTCCGCTCCTGACTCACCGGTGCTGCCATTACGCCAGCTTGTGTCCTCACTCCCTCTTGGTGGTGAGGCTGGCAGGGCTGTCCCCACATGGCCCGGGGTTCACCCTCACCACCCCGCGGCCGCCTCACTAAAATAGCTGTTTCGCAGTGGAGGCCTCTCGGGGCCTGTTTCGCTGGGGCTGTCACTCCCCCTCCCCCTCCCCCTCCCCCAGGACCTCCTGGAAGCCGGAGCCGCTGGTTCAAGGACAGACACTGGGAGTCGTAGTCCACACTATTATATTCTCAGCAATGACTGGGAAGAAGAACTCCGCCGGGGCCGGGGTTAGGACCGGGCAGCAGCTGGGGGCAGGCGGGCAAGGCTCTCACTGCGGCACTGCGGGGGAGGAGAGAGAGAGAGGCGGTGGGGGGGGGGGGCTCCGCGCATGACCAGCAGGGGGCGCCCGGTGCCGCCCGCGGTCACTGCCCTCTGGTTCCCAGGGTGGGGGTGGGGACAGTCAAAGGGGCGGCAGAATGAGGAGAAGTGGGGTCGGCCTGGAGGAGCGGGGCTGGGGGCGGGGGCTGCAGGAGGCCGGGTCGGCCATGACTAGGGCGGAGGCCGCGGCCCATTGGTCCAGCAGCCAGCTCTGGGGCGGGGGCGCCCTCACCTCGGACGTCCAGCCTGCACTCGGCCAGCGCCTCCCCCAGCTCGTTGAAGGCGCGGCAGGAGTAGGTGCCCGCGTCGAAGGGCGAGGGCCGGCGGATGTTGAGCGTCAGCACCCCCTGGTGGTTGGTCATCAGGAACTTGGGGTCCTCATGGATCTCCACCTTGTTCTTCATCCAGACCACCTTGGGCTGTCGGGGGAGGGGGCGTCACGGGGCACGCAGGGCCCGGGCACCGGCAGAGTGGGGCGACCCTGCTGGCCCGGGGCGCCTGCCACTGGCCACCCCGCCTCCCAGGCAGCGGTGGGGGCCCCCGCGGCCCCTCGTCCAGTTCTGAGCTCTCAGGTCAGCTCCTGGCCCCTGCTGCTCACACCACAGCGCCCCCGTGGGTGACTTCACGGCCCCCACTGACCCCTTCACCCAGCATGGAGGAAACCCAGGGCAATGTCGAAGGGACACAGGGGAGCTGGGCGCTGAATGAATGAGTGAGGTGAAGGAACGGAGTGAATGAATGGGTTTCTGGCTCTGGGAGCCCTGCCGAGCTGCACAGCCCCGGGACCACAGCCAACAGGCAGCCGCGGACTTTGCGTGAGCAAATGTTCACGGCCCGCGTTCCAATAAAACTTTATCGGGAGGGGAAGCAAGTGGCAGGCGGACTTGCCCCACAGGCGGTCCCGGGAGCTCCGGCTGCAGCGCCCACAGCGCACCTGCCTGTCCGACCCCGCACCTGTGACGGCCTGCCAGGGGCTGGGCGCTTGTCTGGGGAGAGCGACAGGGCGGGACCCAGAGCCGCGGGGTGCGCAGAGACCGGGCCGGCCGCTCTCCCCACCCGCCCAGGGCCGGCCTCCCCGCACCTTCGGGTGGCCCCGCACGGCGCAGTTGAGGGCGGCGGCGTAGCCGGCCACCACCACGCGGTCAATCAGGGGCGTCAGGAACTTGGGCGGCGACCGGAAGTCGTGCTCCTTGTACTCAAACGGCTTGAAGGTGATGCCTGGGGGACGGAGGACGGGTGACCGCACGCTCCGGGCCCGGCAGGGGGCGAGGGCAGGAGCTGGGGGTGGGAGCTGGGGGCGGGGCGGGAGCTGGGAGGGGGCGGGAGCAGGGGGTGGGAGCTGGGGGCGGGGCGGGAGCTGGGAGGGGGGCGAGGGCGGGAGCTGGGGGTGGGAGCTGGGGGCGGAGGCGGGGGGGGGGCGGGGAGCTGGGGGCGGGGGCAGGGTCCGCCCGCCGCCGCACCTGTCTTGAGGATGTGCGCCGTGTTCTTGGAGACGCCGGGCGAGTCGCTGAGGCCGCAGATGTTCTCGGTGTACACGCGGAAGTAGTACTCGTTGCCCACGATGAGGTCGGACACGGTGCAGCTGGTGTGGCGGTTGTGCTCGTACACCGTGAACCACTCCTGGCGCCGGCGGGGGAGAAGCGGGGCCGCGAGCGCTAGGAGACCGCGCTGCCCGCCCGCCCGCCGCCCCGGACTCCCGCGCGCCGCCCGCCCCGCACTCCCGCGCGCCACCCGCCCGCCCCGGACTCCCGCGCACCATGGTCTTCTTGTCCGCCTTCTGCACCAAGTACCCGGTGATCTCGCTGTTGCCGTTGTCCTTGGGCGGCTGCCACTCCACCAGCGCGTTCGTGCCCCACACCTCCTTCACCATCACGTTCTCCGCCGGTCCTGCCTTCTCTGCAAGGGTCCGGGCGTCGAGCGCCGTCCAGCGCCAGCCCCGGCCCTAACATCCTCGGGGCCTCCCTCGCCCGGCGGGCCACGCCCACCGAGGCCACGCCCCTAAGAGGACCCACCCTAGGCCACGCCACGCCCTAACTTCCTCTGGGGCCACCCTCGTCCCCGCGGGCAACGCACGTGGGGCTTGCTGAGAGGACCCGCCCCGAGACGGCGCCCCACCAAGGCCACGCCACCGAAAGGACCCGCCCTAGACTGCACCCCGCGATGGCCCACCCCTAGACCACGCCCTGAGAGGCTCCACCCCCACCGAGACAAGGCCCAATGGAGGCCCCACCGCCCTGACCACGCCCCGAGAGGCCCCGCCCCCACCGAGACCAGGCCCAGTGGAGGCCCCGCCCCGCTGCTCACCCACGACGCGGATGCGGACGGTGGCCGTGTCTTTCATGTTCTCGATCTGCACGCTCAGCTCGTACTCGCCCGAGTCGGAGCGCGCAGCCTCGCGCACGAAGAACACCGTGTCGAAGTCGCTGGTGCGCACGTGCACGCGGGAGGTGTCCACGGGGGCCCCGCCCTTGGTCCACACCACCTGGGGCCGGGGCTTTCCCTGCGGGGAGGGCGGCAGGGGTTGTGGCGCTGCAGCCGCGCGGGGCGGGCGGGGCGGGGCCCGGAGCAGCGCGCACCTGGAAGGGGATGACCAGGTTGATGTGTTCTCCCACTTTGCGCACGTAGGTCTGGCGGAGATGCCGGGGGAGCCGGATCTTGGGCTGCTCTGGGGGCCCGACACAGGGAGGGGACGTCCGGTGACCACCAGGCGGTCTGGGCGGCCCCGTGGATACCCCCAGGGGGGCGGGGGCGGGGTCACTCACCCACGATCTCCCGGATGGTGACCGGCTGGACCAGGGTGGCCGGCTCGCTGCGGCCGGCGATGTTGACGCCGATGACGCGGAAGAGGATCTTGGCTCCAGTCGGGAGGCCCTTGACGGTGAAGCCGCAGCGCTCCACCGGCTCCTTGTTGGCCGGGATCCACTCGTCAGCTGCGGGAGAGCAGCCACAGGGCGGCCTCGCGGCCTGGCTCCCAGCCCCCCGCGCCCCCCGCACTTCCCTGGCCACAGCAGCAGCAGAGGTGCCTCGGCCTCCGTGCTGTTGTCCCCATTTCAGGGATGCGGAAGACTGAGGCTGACAGGTGCAGGGGGGCTGCTAAGAGCACACAGCTGGAGGAGGCGGACCGGGGCAGGGAGAGTGGCTCCGTGTGGGGGTGCAGTGGGAGGAGCGGGGGGGGTGTCTGGGGCGGCAGTCGGAGCTGTCAGATTCCTGCCTCTGGTTCACGGGTGTCTGTGAAGCGGATTCACACCGGACGAGCCAACGTGGGCAGAGCGAACCCAGACAGCCCCAGCTCTGCCCCGGCTCCGGGAGGGTCCCCCCACCCCGCCTCTCCATGCACCGCCCCCTGCCGGCACCACTGACCCTGCAGGCAGAGGACGCTGCTGGCCCAAGGTCACCAAGTTAGAAAGCGCGGGGGCAGGAGCGGAGCCCACAGCCGCCTGACCGGGAGGCCCGGGCTGTGGTGTCCAGGTGACCGCGGCGGTCCTGCCCGGGTCCGAGACATCTCCGCAGCTGGGGCCCTGCGCCCGGCATGCAGTCGGCACTCAATGAATGGTCGGTGGAGGACGGCGGGCGGGTTCAGTGTGTGGGCGGACAGGGAGGGAGGCGACAGACAGATGTCCGGGGGGAGGAAAGATGGCCGTGAAGACACAGATGTGTGGGTGAGAACCCATTACTGGATGGACAGAGGGCTGGGTGGCCCAGGGCAGTGTCTGATGGGTGGACGAACGGATGGGCAGGCGTGCGAGGGGAATGTTAGTTGGGCGTGTAAACGCATAGAAGCAGGGAATGGTGGATGGGTGACGAGTGATCGCAGCAGACAGGGCAGGTGCAGGGCAGGGAGGAAGAGAGGACACGCTGGTCACTGGGCGCCTGGCCCCGCCCCCCTGTCCCCGGGCTCCGCCCCCGGGCCCGCCTCCAGCCCCAGGGCCACTCACAGCCTTCCACGCAGTACTCCACCAGGTAGCCGTCAATGCCGCCGGCCCCGATCCGGTCCGGGGGCCTCCACTTGAGGGTCGTGGTGGTGTCGGTCACATCCTCCACCGTCAGGTGCTGGGGGGCACTCGTGGGAGCTGTGAGGCGGGGGGGGGTCAGGGGTCAGTCTGGTGGGTCAGAGGTCACCGAGAGCAGCCAGTCCAGGGTCGCTGGGTCGGGGGCGGTCAGGAGGATGGGAGTGGGGAGCCCGGGCTCGGAAGTCCAGTCTGTGGGGCCAGCTCAGAGGGTGCGGGCTGGGGGGCCGAGGGGCGTTACCGATGGGCATGAAGGGCTTGGTGTTCATGCTGGGCTGGGAGACGCCGATGGCGTTGACGGCGAACACCCGCATCTCGTAGAGGATGCCCTCGATCATCTTGGTGGACTCGTAGGTGGTCTCCGTGAAGACCTCGAAGTTGAGCTTCATCCAGCGCTGAGAGCCCTTCTTCTTCCTCTCCAGGAGGTACCCTGCGGGCCCCGGCAGGGAGAGCAGCGGTTGCCGCCGAGCCAGTGCGAGAGGCCGAGACGCTCGGGGGCCCCGGCGCGCTCAGGGGCTGCCGTCCCAGGGTCAGGAATCCAGGGGGAACCAGAGGCTGCAGGAGACCCCCGGCCAGGGCCACAGGGACAGACCAGGAGGCAGGGGAGGGGTGGAGGCGAAGTGGGAGGGCGCACTCGGTCACTCACCAGTGACCGGCTGCCCCCCGTCGTACTTGGGAGGATCCCAGACAAGGATGGCCCAATCCTCTCCGACGGAGGTGACCCGCACAGCCTCCGGGGGGTCTGGGACATCTGGTGGGGGTAGGGTGGGATGGGCGGGAGGAGAGTCAGATGGCCCCCCGCGGCCTCGGGGAGCCAGCCCCCGCCCCGTGCCCTCGGCCTAGCTGCTCACCCACAACCCTCAACATGACGGTGGCCACGTCCTCGCCCGCCGGGTTGGTGACCTTGATGGTGTAGCGGCCCTCGTCCCCCCGCTCCGCACTCTCGATCACAAAGCTGCTGCTGTCGGGCCGCTGCTCGATGCGGACCCTGCCCTCGGTGACGGTGAACACCTGGACAGAGCACCAGGGCCTTGCCGGAGCTGAGCGCACCCCTGCTCAACCCCCCCCCCCAGGGCGCCCCTGCGTGGAACAGGGCCCCGCGCGGGCCCAAGATGCTCTCCAGACCCCGGATTCAGCCCCCGCATTGCCCACCCGGGATTCAACACGCCACCCGATCTCACGCCCAAGATGTGGCGAGATTGCTCCCGGCGCCAGCCATGTTTTATATCCTTACTCATCCCTGAGGGACTGTCACCCTTGGGCAACGCTCTTCCAGGAAGCGTTTCCTGGCTGCCCCCAGACAACAGTGGCATCTCGGTGGTCCCATCCCCCGGGACTGTGGCTGGGCACGTCTGCCTCTGTCCAAGAGTGCAGGCTCTTGGAGCAGGGGCTGCGTCTGCTTCACGGCTGCCCCTTCAATGCCGCACGTCGGGCCAGGCATGGAGGGGGCCTCAGGGGACGTTTGCGGAGTGGATGAGTGAGTGAACAGTGCACCGAGTCTGCATTTCACAGAGGCAGGGAGAAGACATGGAAGACTGGCTTCTCCCAGGGCCTAGGGCGAGCAAGGGGAAAGCATGGGCAGATGGGCAGGCGGGTGTGTGGACAGGTGGGTGGATGCATGGATGGCTGGATGGCTGGATGGGTGGGTGGATGGATAATGATGGATGGGTGGATGATGGGTGGGTGGATGGATGATGGGTGGATGGATGGATGATGGATGGATGGATGGGTGGATGATGGATGGTGGGTGGGTGGATGGATGATGATGGATGGGTGGATGGATGGATGGGTGGGTGGATGGTGGATGGGTGGGTGGATGGATGGATGGGTGGGTGGGTGGGTGGGTGGGTGGATGGGTGGATGGATGGATGGATGGATGGGTGGATGGGTGGATGGGTGGATGGATGGATGGATGGATGGGTGGAGGATGGATGGGTGGATGGATGGATGGATGGATGGGTGGATGGATGGATGGGGGATGGATGGATGGGTGGGTGGATGGATGGATGGGTGGATGGATGGATGGGTGGGTGGATGGTGGATGGGTGGATGGATGGGTGGATGGGTGGATGGGTGGATGGATGATGGATGGATGGGTGGATGGATGGATGGGTGGATGGATGGATGGATGGGTGGGTGGATGGTGGATGGGTGGATGGATGGATGGGTGGGTGGATGGGTGGATGGATGGGTGGATGGATGGATGGGTGGGTAGATGGATGGATGGGTGGGTGGATGGATGGATGGATGGGTGGATGGGTGGATGGATGGATGGGTGGGTGGGTGGATGGATGGATGGGTGGATGGATGGACAGGTAGATGGATGGGTGGATGGATGGGTGGGTGGATGGATGGGTGGGTGGGTGGACATGTGGACCAGGAGGCTTCTGAATATATACAGGAAGTTAGATAGATAAAGAATGTATAGGTGGGTGGGTAACGGACTGACTGACGGGCACATGGACAACTGGACGAGTGACGGGATGGATGGATGAGTTCCTGGGTGGCTGCACAGGCTGACTGACAGGTGAGCCCACTCGGTGGGAGCGCCCACCACCTGCTGGAGCGACACCAGGTGATGCACAGAGCTGAGAAAGAGAAGGACCCCGGCCCGGGGAGCCAGCCCACCTCATCTCCCTTCATCCAGGTGGCCACAGGAGGGGGCTCCCCTGTGATGGACACGTCCAGCCTCAGCTTGTTCCCAGCCACGACCACGATGGCGTTATCTGAGGTCTTCCCGGAGCAGTCCAGGTGGATCTTCGGTGGCTCTGGAGGCAGAGGGGACGGGGGGACGTGGCGGTGGATGACAGGTGGATGACCCCCTGAGCCCCCCCAAGGAGCCAGTTCCAGCAGCAGCGCAGGCCCGGAGTGGCACCCCAGCCCTCCTCCCGCTGCCCCCGGCTGAGCAGCAGGACCTGGGCCCCTACCTTGCTTGGGCACGTACTCCACCTTGATCTCTGCAAGGCCAAGACTTCCGGTCAGGTGTGCGCCCCTCACCCCACCTCCACAAGGTGCTGGCAGGCACCCTGGGAACGAGGGACGGGGACGCCAGGGGGAGGTTTCGGGCCCATGAGCCACCCACCCCTCTCCACGGGGACCTCCTCAGCTCGGACAGCACGTCTGTCTCCCTCCAGGCTCTCATCGACTCCGCCCTCCGCCCCAGACACTCGCTGTCACCCTCTCTGCACGACGAGGGACCCTGGGTCTAGGGGGAGGCGCCTGGGGGTCCTGCAGCCCCCGGGGGATGAAGGGGCATCTTCACCCAGGAAGTTGAGCTTGGCCGACAGGGACAGGGCATAGCCGTCGGGCACAAAGGTGTAGTCGCCCTCATCCTCCGGCCGCACGTCGTCAATCACCAGCTTGTGGAACCTGCACGTGGGGGGCAGGGCAGGGATGGCGCGGGGCCCGCACGGGACGCTCTGCCACGCCCACTTTGGTCCAGGGCTTTGGGACTTCGCAGCCTCAGACAGAACCCCACTTCCTAGCTGTGCAACCTAGGGCCAGTCACCTGACCCCTCTGTGCCTGCGTGTCTCCATCTTTGCGACAGGGGTGAGGTCACCAGCGGCCATGCCGGGGTGAGTCCCACGGGTCTGCAGAGCCGCTGGCCCAGAACCCAGCTCACAGCAAGTGCCCACATCACACGGAGGTCACGGGGCGGCACGGGCACGATGGCCAGGAACACGCAGGGGAGGGCGTGGAAGTGGCGGCTGCAGCGGCGGGGGTCCCACCCCACCTCCTCTGCTTTCCCTGGCTGCCCCTCCCCCTGGGGTAGCCTGTTCCCCAGCGTGGCCACAGGAGCCCCTCACCCCTGACTGCACCCTTGCAATGGGATCTCATAGCATCCCCCACCCCCTGAGCATCCGCCGGCCTGGGGCTGACACCGGGACAGAGGTGACCCGGGACAGTCCCCAGCCTAAGCCACAGAGGGCTTGCTCCTTCATGTCTCTCTGGGACCTCTGCTTTGGCCAGGCTCGCCTGCTGCGGGACCAGAGGGCTGCCACTTAGGGCCAGAGAGCCCTCTCACTGGCCGCAGGGACACTGCACTGCTGCCTGAGCAGCCCCGACCCACCTGCTGTGGACAGAATCCACTCCTCGTCTTTCCGAGTGGCAATTCAGTTGCACTTGTCTCTGGCACTCAAACCATGCTCCCTGTGCAGCCACGCCCCTATCCCGCGACCACGCCCCCTGAAGCCACGCCCCACACCGGCAGTCATGCCCCCAGCCAGGACCACCTGAAGCCACGCCCACCAGACAGCCACACCCGTGGCCCCGCCCCCGCCCTGCGGCCACGCCCCTCGGCTCACCGCCCCACGTGGGAGATGGTGATCCTCTTGCTGGGCCGCACTTCCACCCCGTTCTTGTACCACTTGCCCGTCACCTTCTCGTCTGACACCTCGCACTTGAACATGGCCTGCTCCGAGGCCTTGACCGTGAGGTCCGCGATGTCCTGCAGCACCTCCAGCTGTTTCTCTGGCGGAGGAGGGAAACGGGGGACCCCTCAGTCCGGAGTGCGCCAGGCTGTCGCGGGGAGAGAGGCAGCAGGCGAGGAGGCCCCGTGGGAAGTGGACATGGCCCTGAGGAGCCCCGGGGCGGTGGGGGTGGGGCTGAGAGGGGCACAGCAGAGGGGCGGGGGGGGGGGCTGTGCAGGCTGCGCTGGCTGGGCGAGGACCCGTGCCGCGGGTGTGCGCATGTGTGACGGGCAGAGCTGTCGCCAGGGGCACAGGCACAGACCCACAGCACCCAGAGGCCTGGGCCAGCTCAGGGCATCCCGCGGGGCGGGGCGGGGCGGAGCAGCCAGACGCAGGGGACGCTGTGAAGAGGCCTGGCCAGGCCCGGCAGGGGCACTCCCGGGGCGGGGCCGGTACCTTCCACGATGAGCTCAGCCTCGCACTGGCCGCCGTTGGTCATGACCTGGTAGTGACCCCGGTCCTCCAGGTTCACCTCTGAGTAGATGAGGATGTGCCGTTTCCCGTCCTTCTTGAAGCGGTAGTTGGACTTGAAGGAGCCCTCGCGTGTCAGCTCCACACCGTCCTTCATCCTGGGCGGGGGAGGAGTGCAAGGGGCGGGGCGCAGGCCGTCACCTCCTCCAGGAAGCCACCCCTGACCTCTTGAGTCCCTTCCTCCCACTGGAAAGCTGGTAGAGCACCCATCACTGCCCCTTGCACACCCACGCCAAGACAGGCCTTCTGCGTTTACTGGTGTCTGTCACACCGACCGCCGGCACACCCACCGCCGACGGAGGCAGGTGCCATGCTACTCTTACTTCCTCTCTAATATGCAGACGAGTGGAACTGCGCAATAGGGGCCCACCAAGTATGTGCTGGTGGGTGGACAGAGGAACGGACGGATAGGCAGACAGGTGGGTGTGGGGGGGAGTGGATGGATGGGAGGGTGGATGAATGAACGGATAGATGGGTGGATGGGTGGTGGATGGGTGGACCAAGGGATGAATAATTGGTCAGATGGTTGAACAAATGTTTAACAAAACAGCAGAGATCAGGAATCGGGCCCTGAGGACGATGGTGGATGGGTGTCAAGTTCTAGCGCGAGGCCATGGCTACCGGGACAGAACCAGAGAGGCGGAGGTCTCCGGGGATGACCGGGAACGGCCAGGACTCTCCCAGGGTGTCCCGGGGTCCAAGGCCAGAGCTGAGGGAGAGCGGGGCTGATGGTGACAGGCACTCACCACATGACCTGGGCACCTTCTTCCGACACCTCCACCGACATTTCCACCCGGTCGCCCACAAACACCTGCTGGTCCTCCAGTGGGGTGATGATCAGGACAGGGCGGCTCTGTGGGCGGGGGCGGGAGGGCGGTGGCTGCAGGCCCGCTGGGCAGCCCGGGCCCCGGCCTCGCAGGCCTCCTCCGCAGCCCGCGCCCCGGCCTTGCTGCGGCCGCGGCCCCGCCTCACCTTTAACGAAGAGCTCCGTGAAGCATTTCTCGTCGTTGACCACCACCTCGTAGGCGGCGTCGTCGGCCAGCGTGCACTTGTTGATGGTGAGGATCCGCTTCTTGCCCACGTTCTCAAACACATACCTAGTACAAAGGTCTCGCCTCAGCCCAGACACGGGGCACGGGGCGTCGGCCCAGCCCTGGCACACGTCCACCCGGCCGTTCTGAGGCCACGTCTGGAGGCCGTTATTGGAGGAACCACCGTGGACACGCCCCCTGTCGCCCACGGCCACCGTCCCCTTCTACCAGGGTCGCACAGCTCCCACCTGGAGAACTACATTTCCCAGCCTCCTTTGCGGCCAGGCCAGACCGGGCCTGCAGCAGGGACCGTGGAATGCAGTAGGCGTGAGCTCATAAACCCTAGGTCTTGCTTGCTCTGGACACCTCCATCCCTTCTCCTGCCACCAGGAACATGGATGCGCCCGCGACCCGGATGTAATAATACGAATTAGGACAATGCCCCGGGACCGTCCAGTGGAGCAACTTAACCTGTCCCTTAAGCAACGTAACTTTTGATGTCACCCAAAGGGTTCACTGCGTGACATTCAGAAAACATGGCCAAGGGGAGGAGGAGTCCCACGCCTCATCCACCATCGTCCCACCCAAGGGCCCACGCCCTGGATCTAACCCCTCCGTCTAGACCCGTGCAGGTGTGCCCTGCGCAGAACAGGAGCAGGGAGTGAGCTCGTCCCGGGGGGGGCCGTGCCAGGTCAGGGCGGCGCCAGACGGTCTAGCCGCTGTCCATCCGGGGGCTAGGCCAGCTAGTGCCGCACTCGCGTGCCCACCCCCGCCCACCGCTCCCCCATGGCGGGCACAGAGCCCGCCTGCTGGGGGCTTTGCATTTGCGTCTCCGTCGTCTGTGCGTCTGTGCGCCGGGTGGGCGCCTGCGCTTTTGGCACAGCCGGGGGAGTGCCCTCCGCGGGTGAGGGGCGGGGAGCGGGGGCCCAGTCCAGGGTGCCCGGTGTGTGTGCGCGCGCGCATGCGCACACCTACTTGAGGCTCGGCTTGATCTCCTGGCCGTTCTTGAACCACTTGAGCGGCAGGTCGGGGTCACTGATCTCCACCACCAGCTTCACCTTGTTGCCGCGGTCCACCTGGTAGGCGGGGTCCAGCTTCTTGGTGAAGGCTGTGGGTGGAGCAGGCGGGCGGTCAGCAGCGCGCGGGGCCTCCCTCCCTCCCTCGGCGGCGGGGCGGGGCGGGGCTGACCTGCGCTCTTCTTGACCTCGACCTTGGCCTTCTTGAGCCGCTTCAGCATGCCGCGCAGGTCGGTGATGCCGTACTGGAAGGCGATGCGCTCGTACTCGCTCTTCTTGGCCCCCTTCAGGAGCTCCCAGATCTCCGGGGGGATGCCCAGGTCATCGTCGTCCTTCTTCTTCTTCTTCTCCTCCTCCACCACCTCCCTGAGGGCCGCGGCAGGGGGAGAGGAGGTGGGGGTCTCCGTCCGCCCGCCCCGCCAGCCCGCGGGCTGTGCCGCTCTGCCAAGGCCCCATCTCTCTCTCTCTCTCTCCCGCCCACACGGCCATCGCCCCCGGCTCCGCCAGGGCCCGGACCGGCCGGCCTCCTCCCTTCTTTCAGCTCCCATCTCGTCCCTGCTCGCGGCTCCCCCACACCTCCCTGTGCCCTCAGCGGAACCCCCAGCTCAGCCTGGAACTCACGGCCTCGCCTACTGCCCCAGCACGACACCCACCACCATCCGAACCCGGCCCTGGCCTCTCCTGGCCGCCCAGGCCCTCTCCTGCCTCCCGGCCTCACACAGAACCCTCCCTCTCCCGATGGAACTCCTCTTCATACTGCAAAACCTACTGCCAACGTTCCCTTCTCCAGGAAGCCCTACGGGGGCTCCCCCAGGCCCCTCCGATCACCCCAAGCAGTCTCCACTTTGACCCTGGCTGTTGGACCGGACCCAGGTTCCCGGGGCAATGAGGCACTCAACATCCTGGACCCAGACCGCTGTCCGTCCCCTGGTCTCAGCCCCAGAGCCCGGTGGACAGGAGGCCACAGAGGGTGTTGGGTGATGAGTGAGTGGGGGTTAGTGCAGGTGGATCTTCGGGGAAACAAGGGGAGGAAGGGGAACAGAGAGAGAATGGATGAGTGGGGGCTCGAGACAGTGAGTGCCTTCTGTACTGAGCAGCAGGTGGATGAGATACTGGGGGGCTACACTGATGGGTGTCGGGGCAAGGGGTGGACAGGGCGGCCGCGGGGGGTTAGCAAATGTTGATGAAGACGGCCGGGGAAGCAGTGGGCTGCCCGGAGATAGACTGAGGGCTCTGTCAGAAAACGGGGTGGCCGGGGGCGTGGTTATCGAAAGAGGTGAAGGAGTAAGGGCCGGAGAGGTGGACCGGACGGTCGTGAGCAAGCGAGGGGACAAGCGTTTCGCTGGACAACGTGGAACTGGCGCTCTTCAACCATTCGACGTACAGGTCGTTGGTCTCAGGGAGTCGGATCTAACAGGAAGCTATGAGTAGGTGGGCGTGGCGTCGAGAGGGCGTGGCAGCGAAAGGGCGTGGCGTGGCAGTGAGAGGGCGTGGCGGAGGGGCGGGGCAGTGAGAGGGCGTGGCAGTGAGAGGGCGTGGCGGCGGGAGGGCGTGGTGGAGGGGCGTGGCGGGGGCGGGGCAGTGAGAGGGCGTGGTGGAGGGGCGGGGCAGTGAGAGGGCATGGTGGAGGGGCGTGGCAGTGAGAGGGCGTGGCGGAGGGGGCGTGGCGGCGGAGGGCGTGGTGGAGGGGCGTGGCGGCGGGGGCGTGGCGGTGAGAGGGCGTGGCAGCGAGAGGGTGCCACCCACTGACAGAGGAACGCCTGGCTACACGGCCAGGGGGAGGAGCACATGGATGATGGAGACCCAGGTGCAGACGGGAAGGCGAACGCTGGGCAGCGGAGGTGGACGGATGCTGCCTCTGTGAGCGGGCGAGCGGCCGCCCGGAGCGCGTGGGCACGGGGGGTACTGAGTTCACGAGGGCGGTGGAGTGGAACGGAGAGCCAGGGTGGGCAGGCGGGAAGACGGGGGTAGCTGAGGGGCTCTGGGGTGCAGGCGTGGTGAGTGGGTGAGTGGCTGGGCGCGTGAGTGAGGAGGTGAGCTGGACCCCCGGTAGGAAGGGGAGCGGACGAGAGGATGCGGGGTTTGGGGTGAGCGGGCAGCAGGCTGGGGGGGCTGTGGGTAGAATATGGGGTCCCTTTACCTAACAACAAACACAGAAAAAGGACACGGGCTGGAAGGGGGCGAGCAGGCAGTCCCGGGTGGCCGCGGGGCCCCTCCCTCCCGCGCCCCGGGCTCACCTCTTCTTGAGCAGGCCGCTGAAGTCCAGCTCGCCGGCTCCGTCCGGCTTCGCATCGCCCCTGCGGCCACAGAGAGGGCATGGGGACCAGGTGGTGCCACCCCGTCGGCCTCGCCCTGGGTCCCCACGCCCTGCCCTCCCCACGCAACCTCCCTTCTCCCACATCTCCCCCAACACACACCAAGGTCCTTGGCGCCAGGGCGGGGCCGGGGCCACTTACGCACGCTTGAAGCTTTCCAGGCTCTGTCCAGCGGAGTCTTGACGGGGCGCTGGGGAGGGGATGGGAAGGGAGGGTGAGCTCCTCTCCAGGCCTGTGCAGCCTCCACTCCCCCACCCCGGGACCAGCACGGCCTCTCCCCAGGCCTGCCCAGCCTCGGCTCCCAGACTGGCTCACACCCGTCTCCCTGGCAGTGCCCCTCCCAGGCCTGGGCGGTCTCATTCCCCCACCCTCCACACCTGGCTACAGCACCCCCCCCCCCCGCCCAGCCCACACACCATTGCTCTAAACCTGGACATTGTCCTGTCCCAAGCCCTTAACCTGGACCTCCTCCCAGCGGGAGTCTCCCTAACCCACCTCCTACACCTCCCCACCACACCCCAGAACCTGCACACTCGCACTCCCAAGTCCGAGCCTGGAGCTCCACTCCCCACCGGCGACCACCGGTGCCCGACACCTGCACCTGCCCGCAGCCCGCGCCTGAGCCCGCCCACCGGCGCACCCTCCACGTCGATGTTGAAGGAGCAGCTGTCACACACGTCCTTGGCTTTCACCTCCAGGCGGTAGTCCCCGCGGTCGCCCAGCACCACCTTGCCGATGTGCAGCTCCAGCGAGTAGACCTGGAGACGGGGGCGGGGCGAGGGGGTGCACGCGCCCGCCCCAGGGCCCTCTGTAACCACCTCCAAGGCCGGTTCACGCCCCAACACCCGCCCGGGCCTGACTCTCTTCACACCTGCCTGGCAGCATCTGAGGGCACTGCCCCTGCCCACCCAGCGTGGCCGCCCCCACCCCGCCGGCCGCCCTCCGCAGGGCCTCACATTGCTGGCTGCGTCATGGGTCTCCTTGAAGGAGAACCGGGCCCCACTCTTGCTGCCCAGCTCCAGCCATTTCCCCTTGAACCACTTGATGGTCGGCTTGGCCGGAAGCTCCTTCCCGTTCAGCTTGGCCATGATGACCGCGTCCTTTCCTGGGGGGGGGGGGAGGGCGGGGGCTGGGCAGGAACTCCAGACCCTCCAGGCATAGCAGACCCCCGCCTCCTCCCTCAGACACAGGGTCCAGCCCCAGCCTCCTCCCTCAGCCCCAGGGGTCCAGCCCCAGCCCCTCCTCCCTCAGCCCCAGGGGTCAGCCCCAGCCCCTCCTCCCTCAGCCCCAGGGGTCCAGCCTGGCCCCTCCTCCCTCAGACCCAGGGGTCCAGCCCCAGCCTCCTCCCTCAGACCCAGGGGTCAGCCCCAGCCCCTCCTCCCTCAGACCCATGGGTCAGCCCCCGCCCCTCCTCCCTCAGACCCAGGGGTCCAGCCCCCGCCCCTCCTCCCTCAGACCCAGGGGTCAGCCCCAGCCCCTCCTCCCTCAGACCCATGGGTCAGCCCCAGCCCCTCCTCCCTCAGACCCAGGGGTCCAGCCCCTGCCCCTCCTCCCTCAGACCCAGGGGTCAGCCCCAGCCCCTCCTCCCTCAGACCCAGGGGTCCAGCCCCCGCCCCTCCTCCCTCAGACCCATGGGTCAGCCCCCGCCCCTCCTCCCTCAGACACAGGGGTCAGCCCCAGCCCCTCCTCCCTCAGCCCCAGGGGTCAGCCCCAGCCCCTCCTCCCTCAGACACAGGGGTCCAGCCTGGCCCCTCCTCCCTCAGACCCAGGGGTCAGCCCCAGCCCTCCCCCCCAGGCCCCTCACCAGTCTCCACGGATACGGAGTCCGGCTTCTTCAGGAAAATCCCCGTGGGCTCCTCGGCCGTGGGGGACTGGTCCTCGGGCGGGGCTTCTGTTTGGAGACAGCATCGGGAAGTCTGCACAGGCTGGGGCGGCGCTCCCCGGATGCTGGGAGCAGGGGAGGAGCGGGCCAGCCCCGGTGCCCTGTGGGGGCAGCGGCCGGGCAGGGTGCGGGGGGGGGACGGGCGCCAGGTGTCCCGGGCAGAGGGAGCGTCACCTCACCTTTGGGGGGCTCTGCAGCAGCCTCCTTGGGGGGCTCTTCTCTGGGGGCATCTTTGCCTTTGGGGGCCTTCTTGGCCGCTGTGTGGGAGGGGCCGACACAGGTGAGTGGCGCCTCCCCCCAGACCCAGGCGGCCTGCCCCCCCCCCCCCCGGCCTAGGTGTAAATTTATCTCTAATCACGAGAGCCTCCGGGGTCAGGTTTCCCTCAGCCCAGGCCACCGGGCCCTGACCTTTTGGGTACTGGGGGTATAATTAGCTCTCCCCCAGGGGCCGGAAACTGGACACCTGCTGACCACAGCATCCTTCACCTGCCCTGCCCGCTGGCTGGGGCCCACCTAGTGTAGACCGCCCCATGCCGCGGGAGACATGCCCGCCCCAAGAAGAGCCCCCCGCCTTGCACAAAAGGGACATGGACCAGGCCTGGCCCTCTGCTTCCTGTACAGGAAGCCCCAACTCCCGCACAAGAGAGCAGTCCTGTTCTCCGCGGACGGGAGCCCCTGACCCACGGCCACGCGCGCCCCCGCCCGTACCCCACGGGGGAAGTCCCAGGCTACAGAACCCTTAGTCATGGGAGCAGCCCAGCCCCCAGCAAGAGCCACACACGGGCAGCACCGCCGCCGCTAAACAGGCAGAGACCCCGCCCCACACGAAGACCCCTCCTCACGCGTCCTCCCAGCCGCTCTGGGGAAGGGCCCCCCAGCAGCCACCTGGCTTTGCCTCAGGCATGTCGCCGGCCACTCCTCAGACGGACAGATGCGGCTGAGTCCACCAGGCCCTGGGAGGACAGGTGGGCCCCTGAGGGGCGCTCTTTAAGCAGTCCTGAAACTCCCAGGAGGCTCCGGGAGGCCCGGGCTCGGCGCCCCACATTCCCCCAGCATATTCGGAAAGGCGACAAGTAACAGCTGGACGGGGAGATGGCCACCCGCCACCCCCAGGAGGAGGGGCTGACAGGCACCTGCGTCCGGGGAGGGGGCCGGGGCTGGACCCCGGGTCTGAGGGAGGAGGGCTGGGCCTGGACCCTGGGCCTGAGGGAGGAGGGCCTGGACTCCCAGGTCTGAGGGAGGAGGGCTGGGCCTGGACCCCGGGCCTGAGGGAGGAGGGTCTGGACCCCAGGTCTGAGGGAGGAGGGCTGGGCCTGGACCCCCAGATCTGAGGGAGGAGGGCTGAGCCTGGACCCCCAGATCTGAGGGAGGAGGGCCTGGACCCCCAGGCCTGAAGGAGGAGGGCTGGGCCTGGACCCCCTGGTCTGAGGGAGGAGGGCTGGGCCTGGACCCCCGGGCCTGAGGGCTGAGGGCTGGGGCTGGACCCCTGGGTCTGAGGGAGGAGGGGCCAGGTTGGACTTCTGGGTCTGAGGGAGGAGGGGCTGGGTTGGACTCCTGTGTCTGAGGGAGGAGGGGCTAGAGGTGCAGACCCCTGGTCTGAGGGAGGAGGGCCGTGGCTGCACTCCTGGGTCTGAGGGAGGGGGGCTGAACGCCACGGTGGAGGGAGCAGGAAGAGGCAGGGCAGGGGTCTAAAGTGGGTGAGGGCTTCTAGCCAGGACCCTGGCATGGAGGAGGCGGGGACAGGCAGCCTGGGAGCCATTCTTAAGTTTCTGCAAGTCAGGAGTTTTCAGGAAACCAGAGCCGGGAGGGAGGGTCCGGTTTCCCAGCGCAGACCAGGAGGCTGGAGGGAGGGGGGCTGGTGCCCCCAGAAAGGGCACCGGGGCTCAGGGACCCGAGAGTCGCAATCCTGGGCATGGGCAGACCCGAGGCTGGGGCCCCGGCCCTCCTGGGGCCACGCCCGCCCCGCTCCCGCCACTGTTCCCGGAGCGGGCGCAGCGGGCACCGGACGCGGGTGTCCCAGGCGGGGGCGGACGGAGAGGCTGGGAAGGCCCTGGAGGGCTGCCCGGACGTTGGCGCCCTTCCCGGCAGGGGAACCTGCGGCTTTCTGAGTGGGGGCGGGGGCCGGGGTCTTCGAGGGACCGACGTCCTGGGGAGGGGGCGAGCTGGGTGTAGGGGACTTGGGGTTGAGGCGGAGAGCTAAGGAAGTGATGAGCTTTGAGGGGTCCGGTTCGGGGAGGAATAAGTGACTCCCCCCGTCCTGCTTCCCGTGCAAATCCCCCCTCCTCCTTTTCCAAAACCCCCTAAGAGCCGGAAATCTGCCCGCCCCCAGGGAGCGCCGGGCCAGTCCGGTGGCTACCTCCCCGTGACGTCACGCGTTACCAGGCAGACTGCCGCGCCGTGCCCGTGGAGCTGCGGGGGCCGGAGGGGCGCTGCCCCGCGCGGGTGCATTGCCAGCCAGGTAGAGGGGAGCCGGAGATTGGGGTCGGGAGACGCCGCGATGGCGCTGGACCCCTCGTGCCTGCAGTCCGAGCGCTTGGAGAGGCGGCGGCTGCGGCGACCTCCCCGCCCGCGCCTGGCGCCCCCGCAGCCAGGGCTCCGTCCACAGCAGAGGCTCCCAGGAGACCCGTCCACTTTGATTTCTCGCTTTATTTTATTTGATTTCACGTCGAGGCGGCAGTGCGAGCTTGGAA